ACAATGAACAATAAGTTAAAATTAGTTAAAAGCAATATATATATTATAAATATACTTTTGTTTTCAAATGTCTTTATAATAAATGGAAAAGAGGACGAAAGAGAATGTATGAAAAAATGTGATAAAAGAGATTATGATAAAGGAGCGAGAACAAATAATTGAAGGTAAAATTGGAAAAAGTGCATTATATATTAAGACAAACACCAAATTGAAGCTTATAAAATGGATCACACCCCTCCCAAAATTTGAAGCTTATAAATAGGACTGGAGGGAATATGAATATGAAAATGCATCATTGGGTAACATGTGCAAGTCCAGCGTTTTTTTGATACAACGAAAAGAAAAGACAAAACAATTACAGCAATGTTGGGCTCTCATTAGCCCAAGTCAGATTGAAAATATCATGTGCAAGGCCAGCTAAGCGTGCTTGTAAATTTTAATGCTTAGTTATAACTTAAGGTAGTTATAATGAAAACCTATACTGACTGCTTTTCAGGCTCAGTAGGTTTGTACATGAGAGGGTCTGTTTTCTAACTAAAGCTTTAAGGTAGAGCAGTTCATTCAACAACTTAAAATATCACCAAAAAAGACATCAACAAACCTGAAGATGGTGGCGGCGTAGGTGAAATTGGTGCAGGTGTAATGTTTAGTGGTTTCAAACGAGGATTATCTTTAAAACTGTTAAGTGGAGCAGGGTCATTAGCAAAACTTTGGTATGTTCCTCCTCAATAATCACAAGAAGTAAACAAAACCACTTGCACCAACCTGAGTTCAGTAAATGATTGAAATGAACCGTTGGTTGGTATGTCTCCTTCTAGCTTATTTGTTGAAAGATCACTAGATTCCACAATGATCATAAGCTTACACTTCATTATAGATATATAACTTAATATCCACATTTGCGTCAGATCATTGAAACTTAGAAGAAACACTCACAGAACTTGCAGAGAATTAACAGTAGTCAAGGCCATGGGAATGACTCCAGCCAAGGTGTTATTGTTGAGACGCCTATTTCAGATAGCAGGAAGGATTAGTTCGCAAATAACAGTAACCTAAGCTAGAGAGAAATATGAAAATAATGGACAGACCCCAATATTTTGATAAATAAATAGAATGTGTCACTTCAATGCAGATAACATAAACTTGTACTTGGGAAAGTAAATTTGTTGAAAATTGAATACGTCTAAATATGACCATGGCTGATGCACCCATAAATTGGCTTTTAGCTTCAAGTACATAATTTAATGATTACATTTGAAAATTTACTAATAAGATTAAAATAAATAAGAATTAAATGATGAAGGTAGAAGACAGTTAATCTGTTTATTGGATGCTTCCACTTCATCATTTCCAGACAGCAAGACAAAAATGATTCCATTAGTCTCCCAATACCCATACAAGGTATCCAGAGCATTGCCTCCTTGTTTGCTATTGAGGATAACAAATAATAGACCCTGGAGTCCAAGCAATAATTTATCTTAAAATTAATATACAGTGTCCATTAACAAATCATTGATCATTTGATTGCAAGCTTACTGATACTCAGTTCTTCTGAGAATACATTAGACAGCAAAACAACACCCTCCCTTCCCATTTTAATATACACTTCGATATAATAAATTTGCATGGAAAAAGACCAGGAGACAACAAGTGCATTGTTCAACTGTAACACATTACTTGCCCTCAACCATGCATGCTGAAAGCCTTAACTACTTGACTGATGACAGTCTGATGTTTAGAAGAAGAACAAGCAAAATGCAGTGCAGTAGGAGTGCCTGACAGATAACCAAGACACTTTAATTAAGAAAGAGAATTGAAAAAAATTAAAAATAAACTGCATGTCATACAGGAAACGTAGTTTTTTAAGATTGCCCAATGTTTCCGGGATGCTGCCAGATATGTGATTGGTGTACAGATCCAAGCTCACCAAATTTGTCAAATTTCCAAATTCAGCTGGGATTTTTCCCGTAATGTTATTATTATAAAGCTCCCTGACATAGAAAAGAACACAAATTCAGATTTGAGCAAACAGAAAAATATCCCAACAAATAGATGATGACAGATATGAGCCCGAGATTGATATGGAGTGGTTGAAATCTTGTATTGATAAGGTGAAAACTGAAGCAAGCACACACAACTGGGAAAAAAAAATCATTAATGGATCGTACAACAGACAATGTGTGAATTTTGCTTCGCTCATTTATAAAATAATCTCTAGAGGCAAGTTGATATCAAGCATAAGCTTGGGAGACAGCCAAAGTTGTTAACACATAATTGCTGCACAAGACAATTCAATCTCTTAAACAGCTAGAGGAGGAGCAATATCAACATCAGGAATTAGAAAGTTGATCTAATGATAGTAACAAAACAGTTCATGATAATAAGTAAAGTGGTTAAGATTTTTGGTTCTAGCTTTGCATAAGAGGATTCAAAGGCTGAGATAATCTTGAATGGTTCAAGACCTTAAGGTAAAATCACTGAATAAAAAACCAACAAAGAACAGAAGAGGTAATGGCTCAAGAAATAATGTCAAACCATAATATCCCAGAAAAAGATGCAAATCTGTGCAACAAAATCATATCCAATTCATAACTTACAGGTACTGCAAATTTGGGAGTTGACCAAGCTGTGCAACTAGTTCACCCGAAAGATTGGCATTTCCAAGATCACTGACCAAAGATAAGTAGAATTTTTAACATGTGCAGAATGGTCATAAATGATAGGTAATAATCCCAGAAATTACTTACACACGGGTCACACTATTATCAGTATTGCATGTAACGTGAAACCACGTGCAAGGATTGACAAGGGTAGCATCCCAGCTTTGAAGAACACTGTTTGGATCAGCTACGCTGGTCTTAAATGCATTCAGGGCATCACCTATCATAGACAAAGGCAATTTTCAGATGCAGAAATCCTTTAAATTAAATCATATATTTTGTTATCCAAGCAACATCTCGGCAGCTCACAATTATGAAAAGCCAATTTTATTATTGTAATTAAAATTATTTGATCAAACAAGGTGTTAGTGTTTATGCTGCACTGGGAAGTGGGAAATACAGAGAAAAGAAGCATGATGGAATACTTTCTCAGTTCACCCTTACTCACAGTCCTAGAACGCGGCCAAACAGTAAGACATTTATCCTGACGGAAAGAGAAATATGATTTATTTCTAAATACCAAAAACATTTTGAAAAGCCATCCGAAGATGGTCGGATCTTCCAAAACACAGACTCAATTAAGTATAAGCACACGACAGTTTCTCTGAATTATGAGCATAAAATAACTTTTAGCCTCTATTATGGACAATCAACCCAAGCCAGGACCAACATATATAGCATACGAACGAATTTCATGAAAACCCCTCAGTCCTCTCTGTTCATACTCGAACAAAGCATTAGAGACAGAGAAGCTAAGTTGGAATACTAAAATAGCTACTCCATCTATTAAGTTTTCCAGTTATGCACGTCAATCAAGAAGTAATATAGCTAACAGAGCAAGATGAGCAGCAAAAAAGTCAATTTTCCCATCTCAATGCATTAAAAAGCATCCGTAATATGAAACATCAAAGAAATAAAAAAGCAGTGACAAAAGATACCACCCACCTTCGGCATTACCAGAAACATTTAGCACCAAATCAAACACTAAGATTGCACAAACTAGTAAAGCGGCCATGAAAGACGAAATCACTCTGTCCATATGTCTCATCCTCTTGAACTAGAATCCCATGAACTTCATAACGAGGCATAAACTCACAAGCACGTTGACCTGGTTGACCAAATGGACTCAAGGATTTTCCACAATCACCTTCCGGGCAGCTTCCACCTTTCTCCCCCCACAAATTTTACTCCGGAATCTGGAACTGTGATGAAGTTAGCTGAAAATGCTGGCAAACGGGACGAGATAGGAGAAGAGCTTCAAAATTTGCAAGGTATTGTAAAGGGGACTGCGGAAAGCAAAGTATAGTCGAGTCAATGCATACTCCCTCGTCTGACTGAGAAATTTCTCCACTTCTTTTCCCTTCTTCGTTGGTCTTTTCCATGTTTTTTTTTTAACTCAATTTCGTTTCGTTTTTATTTGATTTACGAGTGATGAGCTGTGATGAGAAAATGAAATTCAGAGGAAAATGACCCAGAGCCCGGAGAGGGAGGGTGGGGTTTGGGAAGAGTGAGAAGGGTCAAAGACGCGCCAGACGCTTACCGGTCTGTGGATGACCCCACCTCCTTGCTTTTTCTCGCACGTGAGAATAATTTATCCTTTCTTGGACCATTAGAATATGTTTTTTTTTAAAAAAAAAAAAACCCTCATAATTTGATATGATATAAATAGGAAAGAACACGGGAATATTGACCTGAAAAGAGATACAATTTGACGAACTCACAATATTAAAGTATGGAGCGGAATGTAGCCTTCGAGAAACAAAAATTCTTGATGAAATTTACTAAAGAATTACGATATTATATTGTATTTAGAATTTTTTTAAATACCTTGGTATGATGCGCTTATGTCCTTTTTTATTTGTCCTGTACAAGTATGCCAAAATGTTTGCACTATTATAATTAGAAAATATGAGGTAAATAGGTCTTCTTTTTGTCACTCTTTGATATGCTGTATTTAAAGGCCTCTCTTTGCCACACTTTTAATGGAAGGAGCATTATATTGGCAACATTCTGTTTTTCCTTTTTTCTTGCTAAAATTGTCTTGAGGATTTTTTTTTCCAAAATTAGATTTTGATTTTTAGGGGAATTACAAATAGAGTAAACAAATTAATGTTGGGCTAACAAAACCGAGATCTATTCTAAATGGAGGTGGGAATGAAAATCCAACCAGTTTTAACTAGAATCAATTTTTTGAGAATGACAATTAGCTCCAAAAATGTCAATTATATGATAGTTTTATCCTAAAAATTTTTACTGAAAAATGAGTTATAAATATTTAGTTAAAAATTTACAAATTTAAAAACTTAAGGCCTCATTTATGGTTATCCTGACAATAGCAGATTTCCATGAAATTCAAGAGCACTGGCTTTTGAAATCCCCAAAATTTGCATCTTTGTTTGTGTACCTAATTTTAAAAGGAAAAGAAGATTCCATCACTTTTCTATACATTAATTTTTCCTACATATAATACAACACAAACGATGGTCACTTTTGCACTAGAGTTCCAATTATACATTTCTTGCAACAATCACAACACGATCAATGGGGGATCAGGACAGCATAATCAAAGGGGAAGAAACACAAGCTGCAGAGAAAATCATATGCTCCGAAGTTCCTGACTATTATCACTTTCAAATGGTTCGAGCCATCTTCTATAGTTATGAAAGGATTGTGTAGATGATGCGTAGTATTAAGGTTGAGAAGATCATCTGGGACCTGAGAGTTCATCTGGGGGGATATGTGAAGCTGAGTCCACGATTGGCCAACTAGAATTGAGGAGAAGGGTTTGATTATCTCGTCGATGCATCTCGTCTTTCTGCCATTGTTCCCATTTTTCAGCCAAACCATCACCTTCAAGCATCCTTACCACCTCAGACATCTTTGGTCTTTCCTTAGCCGAGCTTTGTGTGCAAAGCAATGCCAACTGGATCAGATGCTCCGCCGCCTCTTCATTATAATCACCCCCCAGATCAGCATCCACTAGTGCTTCCAGTTTCTTGTCTTTCAAAAGCCCTTTCACCTGCATCCAAAGCAGAGTCAAGTTGCCAAATCATGGAAACAGGAAAGGGGTATTGTCCAGATTCTATCTACTTAAGGTAGAATCCGTTGGTTCTTCTGTTACGGCCCAAGTAACATTTAAACCAGCAATCCAACTAAACCAACATATAAGTTGTTCAGGACAATTATTGGTAAAGAATAGTGCTTTCTTCAGTTATTACAAAAACCTATGGTTGTGGAGAATGGACGTTAGGAAATGCGATGCAAATTGAGGTTGGCATTGTCATGCTGACTGCTTAATAACTTTTTGGTCATAAGAAACCACTTAAGGAAACTAACTGACACTATATTTAGCAAAAAGTGTTTGATTACGGGGGTATTTGGGTGGAAACAAAATCATAGTTTTAAAAGTACTTTCACGGTCTACGAAATAAATATGTGGAAGAGTTTGCCTCGTTTTAAAAAGTGCTTTTTAAAAGCATTTTTAAGAGGTTGCCAAATACTAAATGTTAGTAAAATCCTATGAGAAAATAGAAAACATACCCAATCAAGTAACATGACATCATCATCATTGGCAAGTCGTGCAAGATCGAAGGCCCTCTGTCCAGTTATTAGTTCAAGAAGCATCACGCCATAACCAAAAACATCAGTCTTCTCTGAAGACTTTCCAGTGGAGAGGTATTCCGGCGCGATGTGCCCAATGGTACCGCGCACAGCAGTGGTAACATGAGTATCTTTGTAATTCATGAGTTTTGCCAAACCAAAGTCCCCAACAACTGCTTCATATTCCTCATCCAATAATATATTGGCAGCTTTAACATTCTGGTGAATGATCTTTAGATCACAATGATCATGCAGATAAGCAAGCCCTCTAGCAGCTCCTAGTACAATTTGCTTCCTTACGGGCCATTCAAGTGGGGGTTTTGATTCCGGGCGGTCTGGCACATTAGAAGACATTTAAGGGCGTACCCAATATCCATAAACGCATCTCAATATGAAACTACAATTTAAAGATCTAACATTCAGAATTTTTTCTGGATATATTTATATCTATATTGGGATTGCATCCTAGTGCAAGATAACTATAATTCATATTTCAATAACAATAAATCAAGATAAACAACAAAAGAGTTTTAAATTAAAGTTAACATTAATGTTACCTCAAACGGAAATACATTAATCCCTTTTATGCCAACTTATACAGGTTTTGGTTATAAGTAGAACCAATGCTAATCAATTTAATATTCCCAGGAGAAAAAATAATCAAACAGCCAGAGTAAAAGAGTAAGGATACCTCGTAAACATGATGCCACACTACCATTGGCCATGAAAGGATACACAAGCAACCGTTCAGCTGGTGTCATGCAAAAACCACGCAGCCGCAGCAAATTGCGGTGGACAGCCAAGCTGATCATTTCTACTTCTGTTTGAAATTGCAACTCTCCACCCTGAGTTCGTTCCTCTTTAAGTCTTTTCACTGCAACTAGAGACCCATCAGCTAACCTTCCTTTGTAAACCTTACCAAATCCACCTCTACCTAGAATGTTCTTGTTACTAAAGTTGTCTGTTGCAGCTTCGAGCTCACTCAGGGGAAACTTCTTAAGCTGACCAAGGTGAACTTTAGGGTCCTCCTCAGCTGCCAGTAAAAGGCCAAAATGTTGATAAATCAATTCTGGCTGTCACACCAATCATTATGTATACCATCTTTTCCATTACTCAGCTTACCAGGAACATTAAAGAAATAATATTGCGGTCTCCTCTTCCAGTAATAAGCAAGTGCAATTGCAAGGGCTGCAAATATTAGAGCAGCTGCAACTCCAACAATAGTTCTAGTAGCACTATTGCCTAAAATAGTTTACAGATTACAAGTTAACTAGAAAATCATTATTCTATTCAAAAAGTTTAGTCATGATCTCTTTTCTATGAATTAAGTATATGATAAGAATAAATGAGTCACAGACTCATACAAGAATCATCTATGTTTTCAGGAAAGAGTTTAAATAGATGCAGTCTTTGATTTGTCGATGCTTTCCTTTCTCCTCTTCCACAATTCGGCCCACTATTGGTTCTGCCCAGTATTGGCATGCATAATGATTGGTGAATAAAGGAGCAAAGGAAGCTATGGTGTGGGTTGTTTAACCCACACTCTTCTTTCATTATTCATACAGTAATTTTTTTGGTTACATATTCCTACACTATTAATATAACATGAATATGAAAACACATCATTGGGTAACATGTGTAAGTCCAGCAAAACATTTTCAAGCTCAATAGATTTGCACAAAAAGGTCTGTTCTCCAACTAAAGCTAAGGTAGAGTAGTTCTTTCAACAATCTAAATTATTATTGAAAAAGACAACAAACCTGAAGGAGATGGTGGCGGCGTTGGTGAAATTGGCCCAGGTGTAACGTTTAGTGGTTTCAAATCAGGATTATCATTAAAACTGTTAAGTGGAATAGGGTTTAGCAAAACTTTGATGTGTTCCTCTTCAATAATCACCAGAAATAAACAAAACCACTTGCACCAACCTGAGTTGAGTGAACGATAGAAATGAACCATTGGTTGGGATTTCTCCTTTTAGCTTGTTTTTTGAAAGATCACTAGATTCCAGATGACCATGAGCTTAAACATCATTACAGATATATAACTTAATGGCCACATTTGCACAAGATCATTGAAACTTAGTAGAAAAACTCACAGGACTTGCAGTGAATTAACAGTAGTCAACGCCATGGGAATGTCTCCACTCAAGGTGTTATTGTTGAGACGCCTATTTCAGATAGCAGGACGGATTAGTTTGCACATAATAATAAGTTAAGGTAGATAGAAATATGAAAATAATGGACAAACCATAATATTTTGATGAATAAATAGAATGTGTCACTCCACTGCAGATAAGCTCGTATTTGGGAACATAAATTTGTTGAAAAGTGAATATGTCCAAATATAGCCAATGCTGATGCATCCATAAATTGACTATTGGCTTCAAGTACAAATAAGAATTGAATGATTACATTTGAAAATTTACAGATAAGGTTAAAACAAATCCTTTCTTCTTTGGCCTTTGACCGAATGGTCATGGTAAGACACATAAGAACACACCATAGACCATCATAGATGATTATAGACCTTTCAGCTTAAAAGTAATACCAACGTGATAGAACCCAAGCCATCACAACCTAATTTCTGAAGCTACATTACCTGCAACGAAGATTAATAGATTGCCATGGGCAATAAACAAAATAGATATTAAATGCTAATCCTCGCTTATAGACACTGGTGTCAAAAAAACAAAAGAGATAATCCTGCATAATTCAAAAACTGCTTATGAAATACTTTTTTATTAACGAAAATCCTCATCTAAATTCGAAGTTATTATCATAAATACCTCATAAATTTTGACACTAATCCGAAGTCGTTTTATGCCATATTAACTTATCTTTTTTATTTATACAAACGCAACTAATAGAATTAAGGGACAGAATGAAAGTAGGTGAAACACAGTTAACTATTCATTGAATGTTTCCACTTCATCATTCCCAGAGAGCAACACAAAAAAGATTCCATTACTCTCCCATTATCCGCACAAGGTATCCAGGGCATTGTCTCCTTTGCCATTGTGGATAACAAAAATAGACATCGGCATCCAAGCAACAATTTATCTTAGAATTAAAACACACTTTGGTATAAATTTGCATGGAAAAAGGCTAGGAAGACAACAGGTGCATTATTCAACTGTAACGATTTGACTGATGATAGTCTGATGTTAAGAAGAAGAAACAAAATGCAGTGCAGTATGAGTGCCTAACAGATAGCCAAGACACTCTGATCAAGAAAGAGCTGAAAAAGATTTGAATATAAACTGCAGATTAAAGAAGAGTATGTCATACAGGAAACGTAGTTTTTTCAGATTGCCCAATGTTCCTGGGATGCTACCAGATATGTGATTGGCGAATAGATCCAAGCTCACCAAATTTGTCAGATTTCCAAATTCAGCTGGGATTTTTCCTGTTATATTATTAGTATAAAGCTCCCTGGCATAGAAAGGAATAAAAATTCAGATTTGAGCAAAATTAAGAAATAAAAAAATCCTGGCAAATAGGTGATGACAGATATGAGGCCAAAATTGATATGCAGCAGTTGAAACCTTATGTTGTAGGGGTAAAACTGAAGCAAAAGCACCCCCAAAAATATATATATATTGATGGATTGTATGACATACAACGTGTAACTGCTTCATGAGATAATTCAGTCTCTTAAACAACTACAGGAGGACCAAGATGGCTCAATATCAACATCATGAATTAGAAAGTAGATCAAATTATAGTAACAACCATAGATTGATCACGAGATTTAAGAATAATAGACAGCATAGTTCCCGATAATAGCTAAAGTAGATAAGTATTTTGGTTCTAAATTCGCATAGGAGGATTCAAAGTTTGAGATAATCTTAAATGGTTCAAGGACTCAAGGTTTGAAATCATTCCCCCTTGTTGCATCTATTTCATCTTCAGACATGAGGTCTAAAATCGAATTAATGAAGATCAACACTCATAAAGTAGGCTCTAAGATCAATAACATTCAATTCAGACTTCATGTCCTTTCCTACACAAATTGGGGTTCGGTATACTATACAATAATATGCACTAACTGTTAAGTCTCAATTTTATATGCATTTTCATAACAATGAACAACGACTTGTCTATTTCATTTTTCCTTCCATTCTGTCATCATTTCTAGTTTGATTTGCCCATAGGAGAAAATTATAGATTTGACATGCTTTTATGTGGAAAAACCTTAGTTGGACTCTATTTATTTATTTATAGGAAAGTTAAAGAAGCAAAGAGAGCCCAAGTTCTGATGCCTGGGGACCTCATGTGAAGAGACTAAAAGGAATAAGTCTGACATCATCCAAAACCAGAAGAAAGTACTAAAGATGGCGCCTAACTAAGTTTGACCTTTCCCATATGCCTGCAAGTCCAATTACAAGGGGACACTCCTCCAAGGGAGGTCTACCGATATGCTAAAGTGGAGGCTCAATCTATCTTGTGTGTGATGTCTAAACTTGGAGAGGAAGAAATCAGAGTACTGCAACAAGAGAAAAGAAGCTTTCTAGGGCTGCAAGGCCAGCAAAATAAGAAAGTCATTGCACATCAAACAAAACTTCAACCAGGAAACTCTGTTCTTCACAAATTATTGTTTATTCAAAGTCCCCATATCAAAGGCTTCATGTAAATAAGAAAGTGGTCTAAAGCAAGGATAAAAAAGGAACTTTGTAAACTGTTGGAATTTCTACTGTAGGAAATCACAAGAGAACAAGGGATAGACAGCTAGATAAGTACCAATGAATAATCAGAAGGAAGTTTGAGTTCCAACATGCTGTAGAGCAGTGTAGCATGATATTCAGGTATTATAACATCACAAGAATAAGGACTGCTTTTCCCCCAAAATAATACATCCTTTTCATAGCTTGTTGAAAGGTAGAGCGCCTGAACTCTGCTAGATTGGGGGGGCATAAGTAGAGGAGGACGATAGAAAAAATTTTGCCAATATGGACAATATCTATGACGAAGTCCGAGAATTTTAGACATTGACCAGTGAATTGGACTCAAGTTTGAAGCTCAGAGATTGAACACTAAGAAACAAATGAAACGGAAGCCTACTCTATAAACCCAGCCACTGTATTGGTGGTAAAATCGTCAAGTAAAAAACCACCAAAGAACAGAAGAGACAATGGCCCAAGAAATAATGTCAAATCGTAATATTCCCGGAAAAAGATGAAATTCTGTGCAACAAGACCATATCAGATTCAAAACTTACAAGTACTGCAAATTTGGGAGTTGACCGAGCTGTGCAACTAGTGGACCCGAAAGGTTGGCATTTTCAAGATCACTGACCAGAAATAAATAGAATTTTTAGCTGCAGAATGGTCATTAATGAGAGGTAAAAGTCCCTGGAATAACTTACACACGGGTCACACTATTATCAGTATTGCATGTAACGTGAAACCACGTGCAAGGATTGACAAGCGTGGCATCCCAGCTTTGAAGAACATTGTTTGGATCAGCTACGCTGGTCTTAAATGCATTCAGGGCATCACCTGTCTTAGAAAAGGGCAATTTTCAGATGCAGAGATCCTTTAGATTAAATCATATATTGTGTTATGCAAGCAACATCGCAACAACTCATAATAATTAAAGACCAAATATATTATACACGTCCGATCCTTAATACAAAACCTAGTTTGTAATATAAAGTAGGTGTTATTTTGAGGACCGGAGGGAGTAGTAATTGAAGATATTTAAGCAAACAAGGTGTCAGTGTTTATGCTGCACTGGGAAGTGGAAATACAGAAAGAAGAAGCATTGAGGGGTACTTTCTTAGTTCACCCTTTGTCACGGTTCTAGAACACGGCTAAACAGTAAGATTTATGTTGACGGAAAGAAAAATGTGATACATTTCTAAATATCAAAAACATTTTGACAAGCCATTCGAAGATGGTCAGATCTTCCAAAACTCAGACCTATTAATTCTCAATGAAGTATAGGAACACAACAGTCTCTCTGAACTGTGAGCATACAATAAAATTTTGCGTTTATTATCCTTTATTATGGAGAATCAACCGAAGCCAGGACCAACATATGTAGCATAAGAATGAATTTTTTGAAAACCCCCTCAATCCTCTCTGTTCATACTCGAACAAAACCATTACAGACAAAAGCTTGAAGTTGGAATATTAAAATAGCTAGTCTATCAGGAATCCCATTAACTTCTATAGTTATGTATGTCAACCAAGAAGTAATATAGCTAACAGAGCAAGAAGAGCAGCAAAATGGTGAATTTTTCCTATATCCATGCATAAAACCATCCGTAATATGAAACATTGAGGAAACAAAAGAGCAGTGACAAAAAGGCACCACCCACCTTCGGCATTGCCAGAAACATTTAGCACCAAATCAAACACTAGGATTGCACAAAGGAGTAAAGCAGCCATAAAAGACGAAACCACTCTGTCCATATGTCTCATCCTCTTCATTTAGAATCCCATGAATTTCATAATAAGCCATAAACTCGCAAGCACGTTGACCTCATTGACCAAATGGACTCTTGAGGATTTTCCACAATCACCTTCTGGCCAGCTTCCACCTTTCTCCTCCTGCAAGTTTTACTCTGGAATCTGAAGCTGTAGTCTGATATGGGTGTCGATTAATTTAGCTGAAAATGCTGGTAAACGGGAAGAGATAGGAGAGGAGCCTCAAAATTTGCAAGGCATTCTAGAGTGGACTGTGGAAAGGAGAGTGTAGCCGAGTCAAGGCATGCTACATGTCTCGCTGAGAGATTTCATCACTTCTTTCTCTCCCTTCCTTTTCCCCTCTTTTTTTTTTTAACTGACTAACATTATACTTTTTAAAACTAATGCTTCCATATAAAAACTAGTTTATAATATAATTTACATTACAAACTATCTTTCTAGTAAAAAAAAAAAAATACAAACTAACTCTTATGTTTAAAACCCAATAGTATAATGTTATTGATTGACGTGCTTGCTGGCAACATGTTGTGACCTTTTTAATAAAAACAAAAATTAGGATATTTACATCTTCTTACTTGAATTTTAACATTTTATTTTAGGCTAGTAAAATTCATCACAGCTTTTTGACATTTTGTACCATTTTCATTAGTAGCCGGTGTAAAAAGTTAACACTCCCGCATTTTATTTATAAAAACATCATCAATTTTTGCACTTGAAAATATTTTTTTCACACGTGTCAGTCCATTTTTGGTCCAGAAAACACGTATTTGTTGTTTGGTTCACGTGTGTCGCGGGTTTTCTCTTTCTCTTCCGTGTTTGACCCACCAGCTATTTTAAACTAATAATAATGGCCTTTTTTTTTCCTGCATTCTTTTCAATTTCATTTTCCTAAGAAAAACTTTTTTGTCATGACTTACACGGCATCGATTTTTCTTTTCTAAAAGTACTTTTTTCTTTTAAAATAAAGCCATGCTTTAAAACTTAAAATAGATTTAGTTTGTGTTTTTTTTTTATAACTGAGCGTATTATTTATAGTGACTTAATGTGTTTAAGAAAATAGAAATTTTCTTAATGTTATCTCAGCCTGATTAATTTTTACTACTGCTGGCTTGTCCAAATTCAGATATTTTATTTCATGATTGCTTAAAATATTACCTTACTTAATAGTAGCTAATGATGAATCTCTTTGCAAATAATTAATTTGATGTGTATAAAAATAAGTATATTCTTAAATAACTGTGATCTCAAAATCAGAGAATGTGATATTTTTTGAATTCATTGGATTATCAATCAGAACCGTTAACAAGGTGGCAAAAGCAAGTTGATCCTTTTTTAATCATTCAAAGCCGTTGAAAAGAGGGCAAAACCGTTGATTAGGAGCCAATTTCCAGTCTTATTGATGTTTTGAGTTATAATCTAAGCTTCAATCATCGTAACCACCTGGCACGTTGATTGACTCTTGTTCCATGCTTGACCTGCTCTATTTTTCCCAGCGTTAAATATAATATATAAATATATATATATTGATCTTCTAACTATATACTGCCTCTTATCATTAATGTAAAAGTTATATAACTAATTTGAGAAGATTAAAAAAATTAGTTAAATTAGTTAATTGTAACAAAAATATGTTAACTTTTCTAAATTACTCTATTTAATCAAGTGCATGGATAATTATCGTTTGGTGATAACCTCTTATAATCACTAAGAATATTTTAGAAAAAAATATTATAAATTTGAGAAATAAAGTGGATTAAAGTCTTATATTTAGAATCAAATTTAATCTCTAACTAGGAACATGATTTGATAGATAAAATGTATTGAGGTTTTATATTTAGAATCAAATTTAATCTTTGGCTAACATTTATATTAAGAATCTGAGGTAGTATGATATTTGAGTTTCGTATCTTTATCTCATAAGTTATTAAGTATCCTTTGATCCCTCAAATGATAATTTTTTGTGTCAATAATTAAAGCACTAAAGATGAACTTATTGATAATGATGGGTTAAATCAAAATTGTTGAAATGTTCAATGGCACCCCACCAATAGGCACTTTTACAAGATACTAAAATGTAATGTATGGGCCCATAAGAATGCCGGCCCTGTTCGGATGGATAATAGTAATGAGCCTACGCTCTTTTAGACATTTAAATTAGGGTTAATATCATTATTAGTCCTTACACTTTGCTTTCATTTTGGTTTTAGTCCCTGAAATTTGAAGTTAATGCTTTTGGTCCCTCAAATTTATTCTGTTTATAACCGTTGGTCCTTGTAGTTTGAAAAGGAGTTGTAGTTGATATTAACGGTATTAAGTTTGCCTATGTGTCACTAACATTGTTTAAATTGATGATGTCAACTGTTGACTGGGCAAGGATGACTGAAGAGACGGTGGTTGTTCTCCTCTCTACAGGCCATCACTGCTCTGGACGATGAAGGTTGAAGCAGAAGAACAGTGAAGTAATTGCCAGCTTTAACACAATTTGAGAAATCGATAAGTGGATTCCGACCAATTGGGTGCTTCTCTTCGGTCACTGTTCGTTGTCTTGGTGAGGAGGAGTGGATGAGCTGGAGGCAGCTACTGTTCATCATCCTAAACAAGAGACGCTGACAGGACAAGAGGATGTTGGGGTTAGGGAGAAGCTCTAAGATTCCCAGATAGAGAGCCATAAAAAAAAAAAAAAAAAACCTTTCATTTTCCGAACAGGAATGTTTTTAAGAAATGGAAACATATAGAAAATCATGCAAGCAACTAATGCTTAAAGGATTATATTAAGAAATTATCCCTACTGCAAGAGAAAAATGAAAAAAAAAAAAAAAAAAAAAACTTAACTACTCTGCAATTTGTCCATATGAAACCCAACTTCCATGATACTTAGTTAATTATAATTTATTATTCTTTACCAGTCCCTCTCATTGTCAACTTGCTTGAAATCAACCTCATGTTGGAGATTTGTTGATTTTGAATCAGAAAATGCATATTGCTCTAAGAGCCCAAAAACACATGCACAAATATACATACAGCAAGAGTAAATGAAGGCACCAGCTCGAGTTGATGTGTTCATCACGAAACCTTTGATGCAGAACTTTTGCGACAAGTGGCCCCACACAACATATATTACCCAGAAACATAGTTTGATTTAATGCCAAAAAAAAAAGGAAGAAGAAACATAGTTTGATGTCATGGAAACCCAAGTTAATACCACCAAAGTTGTAAAAGGAAGCAACAAGAAAATAAAGAAATACATGAAGGAAGCAGTACATATCTTCAATACGCCCATGATAGAGCCCACTATTCATCATCTTCCTCCTGGAGTGGACACCGTCGACTTCTTTAGAGAGAGAAGATAGACACAGTGGAACTACCTTCATTAGAACTTAAACGCAAGGCGTGGCAAAGGACTAGGGGATGCTGTTCATCATCCTCTTCAGTGAGCAAGGAACGACGTCATCTTCTTGTGGAGCTAGAGGAGCTTGACGAATTCGGCATTAACACGGACACTGAAGAAGATGGTGCCGTCCCCAGTGAAGAAGATGACGACGGCGTTAAGGTGTTTTGGCTTCTTCTTTTTTTCTTTTTTTCCCCTTCATATAGAAGTCGCATATCCAGGTCAGCAAATGAGCGTGCCCAGTCAGCAGTCAATATCAGCAATTTAAACGGTGTTAGTGAACTTAACACCGGTAATACTAGCTCCAAGTCCTTTTCAAACTATAAGGACCAACCGTCATAAATAAAATAAATTTGAGGGACCAAAAATATTGACTTCAAATTTCAGGGACTAAAACCAAAACAAAGTTAAAGTATGAGGACCAAAAATGATATTAACTCTTTAAATTATCATCCTCTCTTTCAAATACAATTTTGAGCTTTTTGGGGAGGTGCTCATAATTGATGTCTGATAGTTTTGAGCAAGATTATTTTTAATAAGAAAATACATATACCTATTAAATACTACCTCCAGTCTTTAATATAAGATCCCATTTGATTTTTATATTGGTCATAAATATAAAACTCCAATCCATTTTGTCTCTCATATTTATTCAATTTTTTTCAAGATAGTCCTTCTAATAATTATAGTTTTAGCCAACATACTTAACTAGTAAGGATATTTTAGGAAAGACAATACTTATTTATTACAAATAACTAACTTAACTTCTTTTCTTAATTTCCTCAAATTAGTCAACTAGCTTTTATAATTAGAAACGGAGGTAGTATTATATATAGAATTTTGAAGGTTAATTATGTATCCATGTAATGAAGTTGGCAAAAAAAAATAAATATAAAATATTAAGTTGTCATATATAGAGCCTATGCAGTTTAAAGTTTCAATCTTTACATTTTTGGAAATAATATAATATCTTTGAATATAAAAATATTTAAATTTTTAACTGTATTTTCCTTACTTTTATGTCTACAAAGATACCATGAAGGTGAGTGGGAACCGTGATCCAACAAGTACTTGAACAGTACCCTATTGATGCAGTGATATTTTTGACAATTGGATGAGAAAGTTACTGAGAGAAAGGAAAGCAGTTCCTTCACACACACAAACTCCATTGATCATTTCCATAAAATACTCATGCATTACAATTAATTTAATCCACTTTATATCTTCATAAATTACATATTTTGGCTGTCGTAGATAATATTTATCCTCCTTTTATCAACCTAATTTTTTTTAATTTAGAAATTAATTTGCAAGCATATAATCATGAATTTAAAAAGAGAATGATGTATTGTTATAAGAGAATGTTATTTTTTGCTGAGTGTTCAAGGCTGAATGAGAGACAAAAAGTAATTGGAGAATGAGACGTTTAAATCACTAAAGTAAGAAGTCTTATTGATAAACTAACTTTTACTTCATTTATGTTTGGACTAAAAGAAAAGCTTATGTTTTGAAAACTCATCTCTAGACATTAATTAAATCCTTTTATTTGACCTCACCATTATTGTTGCTAGACTCACATTTTTTACTCTAGGAAATTTC